AGAGAGAGAGAGAGAGAGAGAGAGAGAGAGAGAGAGAGAGAGAGAGAGAGAGAGAGAGAGAGAGAGAGAGAGATCTGAGGGCAGTGTGACCGGTCAACATAACTTGACCTGTTGTTAATCGAATCGGTGAAATTGAATATGTGGATGGTGTTTGTGGCTGGTTTATTTTAAGTTTAGCAATTCTGTTTTCTACGCTTTCTCGGTGATGATGATAATGTTCTTCGAATCGTTGAAGATTCGTTGCTGTTTACTATTCTGTTTGTGACCGTGTATGACCTTGCAGTTTGTGACTATTGCTGTTTACTATTCTGCTTTCCACAAACATTTAGAAAGACAGAAGACGCCAAGAGCTAAAACAGTGATACAGAAAGCACCAGCSATACACTAACAAAGAAAACATAGAGTCAGAGACAGAAAGAGCGAAGTGAGATTCTTCATTGKGGTTGCTTCCTGACTTTTTCGCGGGCGGAGCTGCGCTGGCTGCACCTGCTTGTATATATATCTATATTTTTTCTGCATGAAAGATTTACTATCAAGCTATCATCAACAACAACCCAAAAAAAAAAAAAAAAAACCTCCAACTCCTGACATTTGTTCCTTGTTTGTTTTTTGAACCCTTTCTTTCCCCTATTTTTCTCATTCCATTTTTTCTTTCCCTTTCTTTTCCTTTTGCTGTTTTCCTTTTTTTTGTTTCCTTTCTTTTTTAATCTTTTGATTCTTTTCTTTTTCTTCCAATTCTTGCCCTCTTCCCCCCTTGTTTTTTTTACCTCTTTCTGTTCCCCTCTTTTCTCTTGTCTTCCTCCCCCCCACCCCCACCCTTTTTTCTTTTTTTCCTTCCTTTTTTTTCTTTTTTGGGTCCTCTTTTTTTTGCTTTCACTTTTCTTTTCTTTCCCTCCATTTTTTTGGTTCATTTCTTGCTGGCCCATGTTTTTCCCTTTTTATCTATTTTCCTCTCTCTGTTTATCGTCTTTTTTCAGGCTGTCTTTTCTGGGACTCCTTACGCCCTGGAAGCTGGAGGCAACCCATTTCTTCTTCACAACCTCAATCATTCAGAAGTCAAGGTAAGTGATGCGATTACCGTGCCCAGTGCCCCTCATAGAAGTATAACAATCATGATATACAGGGGCCATTGGCCGGCTTCGGCTGAGGACAATGTAAGCAAACAAGAGAAAGGAACTAACTGCTCTTAAACTTCAGTTGCTGAATTTCAATATGCTTGGTGATCGATTGCGCATCCAATCACTAATCATGTCTTCTGCAGTCTTTCGCTTTCTTAAGACATATGCGGAAATCTTATCTGTTCCCACAACTTGCCCGCCTGGGCCGGGCGCCCGAGCACGTGGATCATGTATACACCAAACATTGGAGGACATAATTCTGGGTGGCTGGTACATCTGTTGGGTTTCCAGGTCTTGTCCTCCTGCTGTAAATGGAATTGGGGTAAAGCCGCTTGGATTACACTTTGGCCTCTTGGGTGAGGCCCATGTGGGTGCCATCATCCCTGTGGGATTACTCATGAGGAGGGCTTGTCCCACTTGGTCTGGCTTAACTACACAACTGAGTCTGCAGTAGGAGATCAAATATCGGAGGTGGTAACATATCGGGGGAAGACCTCTCATGAATATGTATTAATTAAATGCATGATGGGCTTTTGTCCCGGCTTAACTACACAACTGAGTCTGCAGTAGGAGATCAAATTCTTTTTCTTAATCAGATTGAGCTCCCGGGACCCATGGATGGCTGATTGGCGGTAGAAATGGCGGGCCTCGGCTGTGGATGGACAGTGGAGTGTAGGAAGATGGTGTAAGTATGGGGAAGAAGGGTGGCGGACAGGGAGCCCCACTGAAGAGGCCATGGAGACGGTTGAAACTCGCCAGGGTGGAATTGGCCGCACGTGTTCAACACTGATTAGTCGGGAACGTGTTCAAGGGATCACACTAGCTCAGTGGCTAGATCTCTGGAGGAGCATGGGAGAGGGAGAGGTTGTGGGTTCGACTCCGACCGTCCCTCATCCTCCTCCCTTGTGTGAGTCTGGTGTTAGGCTGACCCCCAGGTACTTGTCCCCTAGCCAGGCACATAGTTCACATCAGCAGCCGTGATACTATCCACGGGTGTCGAGAGGAAAGACCCTACTCAATGGTGGGGGGTAGGGTGGGGTAGGGGGGGAGCATCGTTCTACAGAGGCACCACGGGGGGGGGGGGGGGGGGTGAGGTCTTGTAGGGGGTGATTTGCAGAGACTGAAGGTTGTCCTACCTGCACCTGCATTGGGGTCCACGTCCTGTTCCTGGTCGGTATACGTGAACCAATGAGACGAGTGGCTAGGTGGTTGTACAAGGTCTGAGAGCATTGATGATGGCGCCCGTGGAGTGCATGCAGAGAAGACGCCCCTAGCCAGTGCCCATCAGACAAACCTGGCTCCAATTATAGGAAAAGGAATGCCCCTTCTCCGTGCTTTTAAAGAATCATTTCATGCCCTCTCACTCCTGGGCCCTGCACTCAAACAGATGCCCAAACTCATCACAGAATTCTCTCTTGCCAATCCTTACCAGAGAAATTGATATGACACTATGAACTACATGCCTTAGGATAGAAAATCAGCTCTGACATGAACGCCAGAGGGGAATGCTCTTATCACTTCCTCTAGCGGGGGGACTGGGTTATTAAAAAAAAAAAAAAAAAAAAGAAGAAGAAGAAGAAGAATAAAAAGAATAAGGGACTTAAATCCAAGAATCATCAGGTAGGAATTCGATACTTTTGTAGAATACCAACACGAAATTATGACCAAAATTCCAGGTGCGTATCCATGTGAAAATTTGAATTTGACTTTATTTAAGATTTATACGACAGAACTTTAACACTTTAGGTTGACCACAACAAATCAGCAGTCGTCGTCATTGTTGTTGTTGTTGTCGCTGTTGTTGTCGCTGTCGCTGTCGTTGTCGTTGTCGTTGTCGTCGTCGTTATTGTTGTCGTTGTTGTTGTCGTTATTGTTGTCCTCGTCGTTATTGTCGTCATTGTCGTCGTTGTTGTTGTTGTTGTTGTTGTTGTTGTTGTTGTTGTTGTTGTTATTGTTAAACGACCAGTACTTGACCCAACTGTTTTCTTCATGCTGGGTTGTATACACACCAGGGGCAGGACAGCCGTTGATGAACTTCGTCAACAGCCACTAAAACAGCCCCGACCTTTGCAGGCCGTGGTGCATATGCACGGCCGTATACTGGGTCAAGTATTGGTGATTTAATGCTGTTAGCCTGTTGCTGCCCCAGCTGTTGTTGTCATTATTATTGTTGTTGTTGTTGTTGTTGTTGTTGTTGTTGTTGTTGTTGTTGTTGTTGCTGTCGTCGTTGTTGTTGTTGTTGTTGTCCTCTTAATGTGAAATTGTGTCTTTTGTCTTTTTCTGGGGTGGGATGTGACCAGGCCTTCCATGCCCGCTATTACCATCCTTCAAACTGTCTCATATTGATGTATGGAGATGATGATCCGACTCAAAGGCTGCAATATCTAGGTGGTAAGTCTCATGAACTTCTATCTCTGTCCTGCTGTTTTGGAATATTTCTCAAATCAGTGAAATCATGCAATTTCCTTCTTCCTGCCACCGCTGCTTCCATTCTGCTGGATGTTGTTGTTGTTGTTGTCATTGTCGTTGTTGACATTGCTGTTGTTGTTGTTGCCGTCGCTGTTGTTGCTTCGGTATTGTTGGTGTTGCTGTTGTACCAGTCCCTGTTACAGAGTACCCAATTATTGCAGTCCGCAGGCCGTACTGGTAGTTAAATCTTAGGGTCTGTAGGCCTCGGCGTCGTAGGTCTTTAGGAACAGTACCTGTAGGATCACTCCAGTCCCCAAAGGTCCAGTTTTTCCAGCAGCCTCACAAGAACGGTGCCCTAAAGGAAAAGGCGGGTCTCGCGTGACGGGCCCAGGCAAGACACCACCCGCGGTGGCAGGGTCCCACACGCGAGACCCGGTACTTTCCAGGAGGGCGCGACGGTTTGGGGAGGCCGGGAGGGGCGGCGTGTTTGCGACGGGCGGCGCTCCGGTTCACGGAGCAGGTCGTGGCGGGAACCCGCCAGCCCAACGAACAGGCCGCGCCCGCTGTCGCCCGTCGGAGTGGGGCGGTAGCGTGGCGGGCCGGTCGGGTGGACCCTCGGGAGATATTCGGACGTGCGGTGGGCCGGTCGGGTGGAGCGAGGGCGGAGACACGTGTGTGT